TATATATGCAAAAAATAACGTAATATAGCTCAATATATGTTCAAACTACTTTCTTTAAAAAGTAACACTTTCAGTATCACATCAAGTGACCTAAAGGGTGTGATATAGGGTATTACTTTTTGTCAGGACTTCTTGTAACACTGTAGGTAAATGTGACACCTGTGTGTGTGTGTATGTGTGTGTTACAGATGCAGGAGAGTTTGACCTGCCAAGGGAAAAGCGCGATGCTCCATATGGGCGGCTGCGGGATTCAGCTGGTGTCCAGAAAAGGCCGCCTCTCACGGACACCTGCCCTCCATCTGTTACCGGCACACGCGGAGGAGTCTTTACGGCTGTCCCTCTCCTCTTCGTCCTCCTCTTCTTTTTCCTCCTCATCCTCCTCTATTCAGGAACAGGGTAATAACATTAGTCGAGCTCCAGAGAGAGAAAAAGAGGCTGAAAACCTGCCTCCGCGGCGCCCTGTGAAACTCGCTCCACTAGAGCTCCCCCTGGAGGTCAGAGAGGCTCAGCGGCAGAAAATTAAAAGCGCTCATGAGGGCAAAGCTGCGGGTTGTAGGCCTGAAGGGGTGTATCCGGGAAAGGCGAAAGTTTGTTGGAGGGATGAGACGGATAATAAGTCACCAGAGCGTTTCCCGCTGAGTACCATCACAGAGCCACATAAACCACTCATACCTGTCAATCAAGTAAAGATTGGTTCTGATAGGCCCGTAGGGAAGGAGGCGGGGCCAATAGAAGGTAATCTGACAAGAGTTCACTCAGCACATCATTAAAATACTGTAATAATAATCACAGAGAATGTATTTTTGCGGTGATTTTCCACTGTTATTGTAACCTACAATGACCTCTTTGGGCATTTTGAAACTTTTTTTAATTAATTCTGACAGTCATGTTCTATAATGTGCATTATTTTAACTTTTGACAGTGCCATTTTATTTGTCTGTGGACATGCCACAGAGCAGTATAAATATATCTATAAATACACATTATTCAAATATTGAATTAAAGTACATTAAATATGTATATTAAATATATTAAAATAGTTTATTTCTGAATACAATTTTTTTTTTTCAGATTTTGTTTGTGGCAAATACATACTCCTGTTTTGTGTACTGTGTCTGCATGTTTCACTTCTGCAATGAAGATAGTAGCGTATTTTAATTAGTAATAAAGAAAGCAATGACAGTAAACTTTATAAAGTTTTTGTAGATTTTCAAATCTACATTTTACTTACTTTTATTTAGTGGATGCTCTAAAATAACCAAAAATAAATAAATAAATAAATAAATAAATAAATCTATATAGACATTAAAAGTAGCAAAACCTTAAATAGAATTATAGAAATATAAATCATAAAATGAACACCTAAAAGTATTGTTTAATAAGGTGCAGTATTACATATAAATAACTGCAGTTTGTTAT